GTCACAAGTGGCCCATTCTAGAAAATCTCAAGCCAGAAGGAAATAGCAAAGAAAAATCCAAGAAATGAAACCAAAGTCTTAAAGCCTGGCTCCTCATCCTAAGAGGCTCTTAAGAACAGGGACAAGCTTCCAGGCTCCACTGGTACCGAGAGGCCTCCCCACCACCATCAGCCTTCCATGGCCTGACTTGTTCACAGGCCCCTGATTTAGCTTGGGCCTGCCTTACCCCAACCTGTCCCCTGGGGGCCCCACCTATCATCCCAAATGCCCACCTGCCATGGAAAAGCTCCAACAGCTTCTTTCTGTTTCACCCTATGTTCAACGTCCCCCCGCCCCCAACCCTCAGGCCCCGAGTCTTGCTGGTGATACGCAGAGTTGGAAATCAGAAGCGGCCATGCCTGGGGTCAGTGGTAGTACAGTGCTAATGCAGCTGGACGCACATGGAAAAGGTCCCAGGTTCACGTCCAAGTCCCGCTGTGCATGCCCAGTGCACGCAAACATGCCAGCTATGATCAGAAGTGGGGTGCTGTGTGGAGACCCTGTTGGGAGTACCTGTATCTCTGTCTCTTTATCTCAGCCTCTCTCTCATGCAAGAAACAAACTGCACTGCTCGTAATTTCTCTGACCTTACCGTAGGCCGGTGTGACGGAATCAGTCCTACATGCACAGTGGTAGTGACGCCAGGTACCCACAGTAGGTCAGGCAGGCCTGTCCCATAACCCCCTCACCCAGCGGTACCCCCAGCTCAGGGCCAGAGCCCCTGCCCTACCCCGATCTTCCCGGTCCCAGCCGCCAGAGCCAGCGGCGTCAGCCCCTTCTTGTTTGTGAGCTCCTCCAGCTTCAGCATGGGGTGAAGCTTGGCCCCCAGGATGAGAATCTCATTGTACATGCTCGTCACAAACTTGGTGTTGTCGGCCGTGTTGTCGGCCACCTCCACCAGGGCGTGCAGCACCGTGTTGCCCACCGAGTCCTTGGCGCTGATGTCTGCCGGCTGCCAGGAGTTCTGCAGCAGGAACTTCACGATGGCCAGCTGGTTGGTGCATGCGGCCAGAGAGAGCGGCAGCTCACCTGCAGTCGACACAGGCCCGCGGCGGGCCTCGGCCGTGAGACCGGGCTGGTGCCTAAGGCCACAGACCTCCAACTCCCTCTGCCTCTGCCCCAAATCTCCCCTTGGCCAAAGTCAAAAAGCCAAGCATCTGCCCCCTGGTCTCCCTACCGAAGTAGAAGCCAGGCCGCCCTTTGGTTTTCTTAAAGAAGTCCCCATTGGCTGCAGCCTGGACATCGGCTCCATTCTCCACCAGGAGGGTCACCAGTGCCATGTTCCGCCTCTCGATGGCAATGTGCAGTGCTGTCTGGCCTACGGAGGACGCACGCTGTTGGCTTTGTAATCTTATGTCCGGGTGCTTGGACAGGGGCTGGGGATGGGCTCTGGGCAGGCAGCAGACGCTGCAGCAGGAACTGGGCAGAAAATGCCTGGAGGGCCCACCACCCCACAGCAAGAGGCCAAGCCAGGCTAGGATTCCCAAAAGGGGCTCTGAGGAAGTCTAGAGGCAGGAGTAGCGAGTCCTGGTAACTGGAGACACCAGATTGAAAGCCAAAGGAGTCAAAATTGCTCAGGGGTAAGGTGGTGTAGAGATTAAAGTACTGGATCCCCCAGGACTGACAGCACAGTTCAAGTCCTGGACCCAGCAGCTTGAAAATCACCCTGGGCATGTGTGCATGTGTGCCCAAAATCCCAAGAGGAGACTAGAGGAGAAGGGACTGTGGTGTGGCCATTCCCCCTGGGGCAGGGGTTTATTTCTCTCTCTCTCTCTCTCTCTCTCTCTCTCTCTCTCTCTCTCTCTCTCTCTCTCTCTCTCTCTCTCTCTCTCTCTCTCTCTCTCTCTCTCTCTCTGTGTGTGTGTGTGTGTGTGTGTGTGTCTGGTGAGCATGCATGCCCTATAACAAAAACAAAAATTACTCAAGGGCAAGGAATAGCAGCAGAGAAAGAGACCAGAGGCCACAACTTCCAGAGGCAGGGACCTCCTAGGACCAGGGAGGGAGATAGCAGATGTAGAAGACAGGGACCATCAGAACCAGGAGAAACCCAGCCACCAGACAGGGAGACAGCCACTGCCACCCCGACCCAGAGAGCAGAGCAACCAGCGCAGTGGCTGGGGCAGGAAAGAAGGCGCTCAGAGGAATAAGGGCCCCAGGCACAGTCACCTCTTCGTCCCAGGGGGAGCCATGTGGACTGGGCCAGGCCTGCCCCTGCTGCCCTCCTCACCCTTGTAGTAGCTGTCGGTGTAGCTGGCGTTGACAAACTCCTTCAGGCTGTCCGTCTGCCGGGCGATGTCCAGGAGCAGGGGGATGGTGTCGTTCTGTCCGTCGTGCAGGTTGAGCATGGCTTTCAGCAGACAGGTTTTCCCTGTCTCAGGGTCTGAAAGCAAAGGTGAGGGTCAGAGTGAGGTTGGGGTGTAGACCCTCACAGGAACCCGCCCTGGGGACCACCTTTGAACTCGCTGTCGGTGAGCTGCTTCTTGCTCTTCTTCAGGAAGAGCAGCAGGCTCTCCAGCTCCTGGCAGTTGTTCTCAGCGACAGCTTCAAAGATTTTCTTGCGATCATAAAGCCTGTGGGTCTTCTCGGCACCAGCAGAGGTAGAATCCTGGGACAGCTGCCTGAAGACCAGAAAATACTATACCGTGGGACCGGCAGGTGGCGTAATGGTTACATCACTGGACTCCCATATAGTCGACCATGGTTCAAGTCCCAGACCCTGCCGCTTAAAACTCACACTGGGTAAGTGTGCATGTGTGCCCAGAATCCCGAGAGGAGAAGGCATTGTGGTGTGGTCATCCCCCTTGGGGACTGATTTCTCACTTTCTATTTCTCCGTCTCTCTCTGTCTCTCCAATGAGAATCCATGCACCCTACTGTAAAAATCTCTCTAAAGAAAAAAGAAAATACCATCTCATATCCTGGTGTCTCTTTGGCCCTGAGGCCTATGGAGTTTTCCAGGGAACATGACAAGCAAAGCAAAGAGGGAGAAACAGGACACACACACCACTCCTTACTCCAGGCAGCTGTCTGGGAAACAGACAGGGTGCACCCAGTAGGGTGTGTGTGTCCTCATTCCACCCTGCCCTGGCTGTAAGCATCCTCCTGAAAGTCTGCCACTGCCGCCTCCTCCCAAGCCCAGACCACCTGCTTCCTGCCTGCTCAGGAGCTGGGCTCAGGACGCAGTGGCTAGAGGGGGCTGGAGCAGGGGTTGCATGGCCCTTGCTAGGCGAAAAGCAACCTCAGGCCGCCCCAGGGATCAGCCAGCCTGAGTGCCCTCCTTGCTCTGCCTTGGACCACGCAGGAGGCTGGTGGGCTCTTTGCTGAAGCTGGTCTGTACCTTTTTGTTTAAAAGTCTCCAGCCTTGGGCCAGCAGGTAGAATGGGGTAAAGGTGTTGGACTCCCACATGGCCGACTGTGGTTTGAGTCCCAGACCTGGCAGCTTGCTTTCTTACTTTCCCTCTCTCCCTCTGTCTCTCTATCTCTCTGGTGAGTGCATGTGCCCTATAGCAAATTTAAATATAATAACAAATAGAATAAAATAAGTAATTCTATAAAATAAAGAAAAAGCCTCTAGCCTTGAGCTTTCAGACTGAAAGCCGAAGTGTTTGGGGCTGGTGAGCGTGCCAGGCCTGGATACCTAGTAGTGGGCTGGCAGCCAGGACCAATGCACGGCCAGCATCAGTGACCGTGTGTCCCATGAGGTCTTCTGAGGGCAAATGCTGGACCAGGCCACCTCCGAGGGCTCCTCAGCTCTGACTCCATGACCTCTAGCCCAGGACCTGCACCCGTCCGTGGAGAGCCGGCTGGGTGCCTGGCAGGCAGGGCTCCAGATGCACACGTACCTGGTATAGGTAGGGCCATCCCCAGGCTTCAGGACGATGACCACAGGACTGACTGTGATGGTTGGGCGGCAGGCCAGCTCACCGTCCTCATAAGAGCAATCCACAGAGGACGCCTCCTCCAAGTCACCCTTCCCAAAGAGCCGAGGGCGGCTCCTGGCCGCAGAGGAGGCTTGGGGCTTGGCTGGAGGTGGTTTGGAGCCAGGCTCTCCATCCAGGGGATCCGAGCGGGAATCTTCTGGGGGTCGGTTCTCAGACTCTTCTGAGGTTAAGCTATCCCAGTGCTCCATCTTTGCTGGGTCCTCCAGGTCCCAGTGTCCAGCCTGTGGACAGACATCGAGATGGGGTTTGTCCCCAGCTTGAGGACTCACATCCTTACCCTCACCTGCCTTCCCGGCTAAGCCCCTGTGAAGCAGGACACCCCAAAGGTCCAATCAGCGGCTGCCCCTGCACCAGCTCCAAAGCTTTCGGGGCTGTGCCTCTCACCCAAGCAGCCCCAGGGTAAGTGCATGTGCCGTCCTTAGACTTCAGCATCGGGGCTTGGGTGGGACCCCCAGTGTGGGGCCTGCAGGCTCTGGGGGACTGGGGTTAGATGAATCCCCTCTTCTCTGGACCTCAGTTGCCTCATCTGTAGGATGAAAATGACAACCACAGCTCTGCCTCCTCCAAAGCCCAGAATAAGGGAAACAAGGGGGATGGCTGCCTCTGGCTGCCTTCAGAGAGGAACTCCGTGATGAGGGTAGCTCAGCGCAAAGAGCCAAGTGGTCCGTGTCCCCGAGTGGTGATGGCAGCAGACACACCTGCACCCCGCACTGCAGGGCCTCCTGGGCCAGCTGTCCACGTGTCCTCTGCCACGCACGCGGCCTGCCCTTCTCTTCAACCTGGCTGCTGCAAACGTGGAGTCTGTGTGTGTCTTTGTTGTCGTTTGTTTTTGCACTGTGTATCATTTTTATGAACTCAGTGTATTTCAAACATCAAACACACTGGCCCTGAACTTTCAGGCTCAGAGTGATCTGGGGCTGGTGGACCTTCCAAGCCCGAACACCTGGACGAAAGCCAGCAGCTGAGGTCAACACGTCCAGTTATAAGCACATGCTGGTCCTGTTTCCCACTCCTTTTCCGACCTCATTTCCCATGCTTCCCTCCATCCAGCCGGGCACCCCTGGTCCCTGGCACCAGGGCTTCCCACACATTCTATCTCAGGGGCCTTGGCTCCCATGGTATCTTTAGCTGGGCCACCTTCTCCTCCTTCTCCCCTTACTCAAATCTGATCACCACTAAGATGCCACCTCCCGTCATGTTCAGCACTAATGTCACCTCCTCCAGGAAGCCGCTGCCTCCCCCCCCCCCCCCCCCCCCCGCCGCCGGGTGGCCTCTGGGCCAGCCAGCTGAAACTGAAGAGAAGGATTAGATCTTGCATCTATAAGCTACAGAAAGAACCTTTAACTGCCTTAAACAAACTGAGAAATACACTGTAGAGAAGGATTTTATCTACCTATGGACAGTGAGAAGATGATGGATACCAGCCCTGCATTACCTCAGGCAAGAACAGGAACTACCCTACCATTCTTAGGGAAGCCAGATACCAGAGGATAAGTCATGCTGCAGACCCCCACAACACCATTCCTCCTGGTCCCAGGATGGCTGGTGTGCCGCATCAAACGATAGG